GACCCCCCACCCCTCCCCAGGTTTTCCCTGGCCACCCTCTGCCTCCCCAAACTTCCTGTCACTCTCCCCTACTTTATTTTTCTCTTTGACACTTAGTAAAACATATTGTTCATTTATCTCTAGAATGTAACCTCCAAGGGAGGAAGAGGTTTTTTTTTTTTTTTAAGTTTATTGATTTTGAGAGAGAGAGGAGAGAAACATTGATGTGAGAACGCAACATCTTTCAGCTGCCTCCTGCATGCCCCCCACCAGGGACCAAGCCCACAACCTGGGCATGTGCCCTGTCTGGGAATAGAACTGGCAACCCTCTGGTGTACGGGACTGCACCCAACCAACTGAGCCACACTGGCCAGGGAGGGAGGGACGGACGGAGGGATTTTTGTCTGCTTTGTTCACTGCTATCCCCAGTGCTTAGAACAGTGTCTGATATGTAATGGGAGATTTTTAAAAATTTGGTGAATGTATGAACCTGTCTTCTTCAAAGTCTGCCTGTAGTCTGTCCCCCCTTGGGAAGGAAGTCATCCTCAGTGCAGGACTGGGCTGGTCCGGAGCTGGGATGATGACTGTCACTCGACCACTTCTGGGGCACTCACTCCTTGCCTGACACACCTCCAGGGCTTTACAGGCATTGCCTGATGTCATGATTTCCCCCAAACGACCACCCAAGGTGGGTATTTACATTATCCCAATTTTACAAATAAGGAAACGGAAGCTCACAGGGAGGTGGATATACCTTGTTCAAGGTCACACAGCTTGTGAGGAGCAGAGCACAATTCAAATCCAGTCTGTGTGGGTCCAGGTGCTGAGTCTTGCCCTCTGCCATACTGCCAGATCCTGCCCCGAAAGGGCCTATGGCCAGCGAGCGGGTTGCAGAATCACCACACAAGGTCTCACGTGCTAACTGCTAACTGTGTCATGTCTGACTCTGTCCTTTCCCTCGCTCCCCACATCCGCAGTCCCCAAGTCTGGTCAAATCTGCAGCCCGGCTTGGGAAAGGCTTTGGAAGCCTTCCCTTCGACCCACCTCCGGCCCCCAAATTAGCTCGGGGCCTTGTTCACACTCGCAAGGTCCAAGGTCATGGTCTCCCAGCTATTCCCCTGCCTCCAGGCTTACCTCTCACTGAAGGTCAGCCTCCCCAGTGCAGCTCAGGTGGTATTACTCTTGGTCTCAGAACCCTTCACTGGCCCCCACTCACTCTGGAATAAAGCTCAGTTCCTCAGCCAGGCACTCAGGGGTCTACTTCCAACCTTCCTTTCCCATCTTGCCTGTGCTAGTCTCCCTTCAAGCACCCCGTGTGCTATACAACCTCAACACATCCCGGACCTCCATGCTTTTGCCTATGCTGGTCCTCCTGTCAGAAATGCAGCCTTTCCTCCACCTCTTCTCCAAAGCCCTGCAAAATATTAAGATCGAACTCAAATGCCACCTCCCTCGTGGCCCTACCGAACCCACAGGACAAGCTCTCCCTCGCCTGGCTCATCCACATCGTTTTGCTTCTATGGCCAGCGCCCAGCAGCAGACATTAGCTCACTCCCCAGGCTAGGCCTCGCTGAGTTACTAAGCACATGGGTCTTCTGAAATGGATTGGTGCAGGTGCTGAGGGAGACAGAAATTGGGGAGAAGTGTGTGCATAGAGAGGCCCGCAGAAAACTGCAGAAGGGCAGCAGAAAGCAGCGTAGTAGAGCACAGGACCTGGAACCTGACTGCCTGCGTTCAAATCCAGCTTTCCCTCTTCCCAGCTAAGTGGCAAATGACTTCTCTGGGCCTCAGCGGTCTCATCTGAAAAGGAGAGGTAATTAGAATACCTACCTCCACGGGGCACTGTGAAGACTAAATGAGTGATCATATGTGAAGCTGAGAACAGTGCCTGGTACACAGTAAGTGCTAAATAAGTGCTTATTGCTACTGTTATGAGCCAAGCCCCAACAGGGGCTCAGCGCTGGCAGAGGGCTGACAGTTGCTGGCACAGTCCCCAAACTGTAGCTACTTTTCTGGCACATTTCCCATATGCTACTTGCTTACAACCCTGTTGGGAGATGGGCAGGGCAGACAATTAGTCCCATTTTACAGATGAGGAACCGAGGCTCACTCAGGGAAAGCGCCAGTGAAGAAGCAGTAGGGCCAGAACCCGTCAGTTCTACCCAGACCTCCTTCTCCTCCACCAGGCAGCGGTGCACCTGTTGTGCAGGCCTCGCTTAGCACCCAGCAACCCCTCCATGCAGGAGGCCCCAGCCATCGTGCCTTCCTGCCGCTCCCCGTGCATATCCACCCTCCAGACCAGGCGAGACGCAGTACCCAGTGGTGTGTACACACTTGGAACACACACACACCATCCCCCCTACACACACACACACACACACACAACCTACAGAAGGGCCCAGGCCCCAAAGGTGAGGAAAACCGGTTCTGAGGAATCTGCCTAGTGAGCGAATTCAGACCCTTCCACAGTCACAGGAGCTGCCCAGCGTGCGTCACAGACACAGAAGCGATGGAAAAGCAGAGATACCAGCAAGGGGGGGCCGAGAGAGGGTGAAGCAGGAGGCGGAGGCTGAAAACTTCGTGTTTCTTTTTTCCATTTCAGTGACAAGAGTCACACCCGACCTTTACGTAAACATGACCAAGGAGCCACTCTGTCCAAGCTCAGTTTCCTTGCAGCCGCCAGGCCTCTCCTCCCAGTGACCCTGACACGCTGGGCAGGCCAGCGAGAGGCCAGCGCACAGACCCTGCACAAAGACGAGCCGGGCCACCCGGACGTCACCCAGGCCTCCTGCCTGCTGCCCTTGCTCTGCCCCACATTTATCTCCCTGCTTCTTCCTCACACAGCCCCACAAGGCCACTCACACACACGAAAGGCAGGCACGCACACACGGCTGCGGCCGATCTCGAGGCTGAGGCCCACATGCCCTTGTCACGCCACCTCCCTCCCCACAAGTGTTTTCTGAGCAGCTCGCCTCCCAGCCCAACAGCAGGGACAGGCTCCCCACAAACAATGTCACGAAAGAATCCCTCAGCGCACACACAACCTTCCCCTCGCTGGGCTGCCCACGATCCCATCCACACGACCTGCACATTCCACCCAGAGCCCCTCACACCAGTGCCAGCTGCTCCACAAGTGCTGGAGACACACCCTAGGGTTTCTCAAGTCCCTCACGATGGGTGGTACCTGAGTTCTAGACGTGCACCACCTCCCCAAGCAACTTGCTCATCGCACACACAGGAACCCATCCAGCGGGGCCGTCCTCACCGAGCAGCACAGAAACGGACCACACCTCAGCGGCACAGACACGGGGCCCAGAAGTGACACCTTCCAACTCAAAGGTAAACAACCGCCCCTCCAAACAGGCGCAGACGCCTGCACTCGGCCGCCCAGAGCACTGACACCAGCGAGCTGTGCGGAAAACAACAGTTCATAAATAGTTCATCTGTGCAGGAGGCAGAAGAAAACACTTGCTGCTATAAACCTGCCGAACACCCCACATCCAGCAAACTCTGCAGGTACCGGATCCTGCCTGGAACGGGGACCTGTCACCCCAAGCCACGGGGCCACCTGCTGTAATGCTGCCCCACAACCCTGGGCACCCCACCACCTGGCTTCCAGTCCCCCTGGCCCGGGAGGGCCCTCCCCAGACCCCTGGCTGCCAGACCAGCAAACGGTGGTGCGCAGGAGCGGGTTACCTGGCCGCACAACACGGCAGGAGACACGCAATCTCCAGGACCCACAGCCACCACCCTGCCCCGACGGCGCAGCG